GTATCCTGATGTAGGAGTCTCCATTTTTCAGGTGAGAAAGGGAATAGTGGAGTGCAGCCACGATGGCGTCTGAGGTGGCCCTGTTGGGCCGGTAGGCATACTGCAGGGGTCCACGGTGTCCGGTATACTGCTCTGGATGTGGGCCAACATCACTCTCTCAAAACACTTCATAATGATAGGGGTGAGTGCCACTGGCCTGTAGTCATTCAGGCAGGTGACCGGGCTCTTCTTGGGAAGGGGGATGATGGTTGTAGTCTTAAAGCAGGTGGGAACGATGCTCTGGCTGAGGGAGAGGTTGAAGATGGTGGTGAGAACATCAGCCAGCTCACTGGCACATGCCCTGAGAGCCCTCCCAGGGAGGTTGTCTGGTCAGATGGTCAACCGGAAGATGGAAGTCAGATGGTCAACCGGACAGAGCCTCCGACCGCAGACGTGGAGAGACTCTCTGTTCCTCTTTTTGCCTCGGTTTTTATAGGGTTCTGGTCAGTGATTTTTGTCCCCCCATCCAACCAGATGCCGCAGTTTGCAGTTGATACCTTATTTGGCGTGCAAAAATCATATTGTTCTGAAGTATTGCATATTTTTTACTGTCAGTCCAAGCCCACTGCCCGTAACAGGCCTCTGCCCCACTGTGATCCAGCCTTGGATTCCACGTCCTCTTTTCTAGAAAACTAAACCATCTGAATACATAACAAAAATACAAGAAACTCACATCTGACTGAAATATCAAAATTCCATCATTGCTTTTTAACAGAACAATCAGAATTACACACTGATTTCACACAAAACTATCAATGCCTTAAAGTCAAAACACAGAGCTTTATATTTTGAATAGTTTACTTTGACTAAACATGGATTATCATTGATTAGACATTGATCAAACAATTATCAGTCAAATCTTTACTTTTGTGCCTGAAACATCATTTTTGTTACTTCCTCAGTATGCTGTGTGTCTCTTATCCGTGTGGCAGGCACACACAAACCTTTGCAGTTCCTCATTGAAGCAGGGATGTGTGTCTACTTCCTCTTGTGTGATGCTGTACTTTTCACTCTGTTAGATGTAAAATCACTTTTCCCCATCCTTTCAATACAACCATTTCACATTTTATTTAACACATTCACTAATGATTATTTCAAACAAAACACACATAAATCATTTTATTATCTTTACTTATTAAAAGCTTAACCTTTCTAAGCATTCTGCCACAGCATTTTAATAATAATTCCTTTGTCCTCTCCAACCTCCCCTGGAACTTCTTCTTTCTCCTCTGCCTTCTCTTCTCCTCTGCCTTCTCTGTGTCTCGGTGCTCTTTGAGGCCCGTTTTTACAGCCTTGCTGACAATGTTAAAGTCGGTGTAGGCACCCTTTAGCAACTGTGGGTGAATCCCAAATCTCTTATATGGGTCCATGTTTCCCTCACTTCTATTTTTTCCTTGCGTCATAGTGCTGCCCAAGATGCAAGGAAAATAAAAAGAGTTAGAGGAGTTCAGTGATAGTGCACTTTCTTCCTGTCAGTATCTGTTTATCAGACTGTGAACATGAGCAGTCACAGTTTTTACATTGAAGAAATAGATCAGATAAAAGAGGAAGTGAAGTGGCCGCTATTTGTCATTACGGCCATCTTGCAGCTCTGTTACTGTCGTTGAACTTTTATAGAACTGAAACTGTGTTCACTGCTGAGCTCTGATGCTTGAGACGAGACACTCTACAGAAGAGCTGTGAGTATTAGAAATATTTACATTTCTATGTTAAAATAGAACTTTTTTCCATTAAGAATTCTTTTTCTTTAAAAAAAATAATTATGGAGTAATTGTTCTTATTTTCAAAGCAGTTTGTCTTTATTTTAGAAATTTTCTAGAACACAGTCCTTTAGTTGGAGTCCAGTGTGTTAGTGTGCAGATATTCTGTTGTTTTGACGTCTCAGAGCATACGCAGCTTTTCTCGGTCATATGTGATGGGTCACTGTGGTCGATGGGACATTATGGTTTCACCATTTCTGACATTTTAAGACTCAAACTGTTCATTGACAAATTGGTTTAGAAAGGTCAGAGATTAGTTGATTAGATTAATTAGAGGTCCTGGTAGCTGGAGTTTCTGGTGTTGAAGCCAAGCTGTTCCTGGCTGTGTCTTCCTTCTAATCAGATATGAGAATGGTATTGATCTTCTCAAACATCAAAATGTCAAACTGTTCCTTACATAAATTGTTGCTGTGTAACATTTGTATCCTTGTTTTATTCCCCTGTTGTCCTATACATGTGCACACACTTGAACAGCAGTACCAGCATCAAATCTCCACCTCGCAGTAACTCGACAAACACCAGCAATGGCCCTGAAGATCAGCATGACAACAAAGAGGACACTGTACTTTGTACAGAGACCTGTTGTTGTACTTGTGTTTCTCCTGCTTCATCTGAACCCTTCTCTGGCTTATTCGCTGAAAAACTGCACCATCAGTTATTTTGACAGAACCCCGCCTGATGTGTTTTTAGACTGCACAAGTCGTAAACTTGTTACCGTCCCAGATGACATCCCCAGGAATGCAAGCATAATACACCTCTACAGCAATCTGATTGAACAGATTAGCAGGAAGGATTTTACCAACATGTCAAAGCTGAGAAGATTGGTCCTGTATTATAATCAGATTACTCACATAGAGGATGGCTCTTTCATCCATTTGGGTGCACTGACAAGACTCATTATGAGCTCTAATCATCTTACCAACCTGACAGTCAACATATTTCAGGGGCTGTCCAACCTTACCATACTTGACCTCAGTAACAACAAGATTATGTTCATTCACAATTCAGCCTTTCATTTCCTGAGCAGCTTACAAACTGTGATGCTTGATAAAAACCAGCTCCAACAAGTCAGTGATATTCAGCCCATCCTACAGCTACCTCAGCTCCAGGAGCTCAGCATTAGCTGTAATTCATTTCCATCCTTTGAGACCAAAGACCTGCTGGTGAATGTGCCCTCGGCCCTTAAGGTGTTACGTGTTTCTGGTTATAATATGGAAAACATCAGCATTACGACACCAATCTTTCCTCACCTCGAGACAATAGACATTGACTGTGTCCAACGAGACTTGAGATGGTACATACCTGACAAGACTTTACTGAAGAACATAACTCGGCTGCTCATCAGTGTGGAACCAATTCCTTTTAAAGTGATCCGAAATGTCCTGCAGAAACTCGACTCGGTGATTCATTTGAAAGTGTATTCTATAATGTCAAAGAGCAAAGGTCTCTTAGATACAGTCTGCAAAATGCCAAATCTCAGGAGTCTGGATCTGTCTAACAACAACGTTGTCAGTTTTAGTGTGAAACCTGGAACTTGCACTCAGCTCACTGAGCTTGACTTGACCAGTGATCACATAACTAAACTGTCGATCCAATCGATGAAGCGACTGAGGTCCCTGGTAGCAGAAAACAACCTCTTGACCAAAGTGCCTGATGACATAAGGACCCTCTCCTCGCTTGAGATCCTGGATCTGAGTGGGAATCAGATCTCTGAATTGGGTTGTGAGGATTTTATCAACACAACATGCCTGACTGAGCTCTGTTTGGCCACCAACTACATATCCAAACTGGACTCATGTGTCTTTCAGAATCTTTATGTTCTCAGGGTTTTAGATATGAGCCATAATCTGCTGTGGACAGTTGAGAGCACCTTCACACTCGGCCCACAGTTGCTGGAGTCCTTGGATTTGAGTGAAAACTTTGTATCATATTTTGGCAAGGGCTATTTTCAAAGTTTAGGGTCCCTCAAATATTTAGATGTGATTTCAAGTATGCCTGGATTAGTAGAACACAAGGCTTTTGATGGACTGAACAACCTGGAAAGTCTTAGTATATCTATTCCATCCGAGGTGTATTATAACTTCAGAGAATTACAGAAGTTGGCAAATCTTACAGTCTACATCACTGTTGACAGGGATTTCAGAAGTCCTCTCCCAAACTATTTTGAAGCTTTCTATCATTTAAAGTCCTTGAAAGTTTTCAAAATTATCTTCACAGGTGATAAAGTTGATTTCCCCTTTGACTTACCGTTTGAAATATTCGCGACTATGAGACATTTGGAGGAATTCACAGCTGAGAAAGTTTATAATGCTGCACCAGAACCCAAAACATTTACATTCAATCGCCGCCTCAAGAGTCTAAGCATCATTCAGAGTGATTTGTCAAATCTGAATCCAGAACTGTTCTCACCAATCCCACAGCTGCAGGTTATCAATTTCTCTAATTGTAAGATCAAGTCTTTGAACTTTCTTGCCCAGGCTCGCCTGCCTGCACTCAGATATTTGATCCTGAGAGACAATGAGCTCAGTGTAATCGGTGAGATGCTCTTCCAGTTTCTCCCTGCGCTAACATACCTGGATCTGGAAAATAACCCATTCACTTGTGACTGCTCTAACACTGGATTTATCCAGTGGGTGATAAGCAACAACCAAACTCAGGTTGCTTATGCCTATCAGTACACGTGCCCTTTTCCTGTGGTTGAACATACACGTAATTTGCTGGACTTTGACATCCAGTCATGTTGGATGGACCTTGGCTACATCTGCTTCACCTGCAGCACATGTCTGGTTGTTCTGACTCTGCTCACATCCTCCATCTACCACTTTCTGAGGTGGCAGCTAGCTTACACCTTCTACCTCTTCCTGGCCTTCCTCTATGACAGCAGGAAAAGGAAGCAGGGGGCTCCTCATCAGTACGACGCATTCGTCTCCTACAATGTTCACGATGAGGCCTGGGTTTACAGAGACATGCTGCCAGTGCTGGAAGGGGAGCAGGGTTGGAGACTCTGTCTGCACCATCGAGACTTCCAGCCAGGTACATGTCACCACTCATAACTAATAATCTGCACTCGGTGTTTGACGCTATGCAAACCCCCAAACTCACAGTGTAAGCCTTGGTTTTCCAGACAGACTTCAGCATTCAGCGAGTATGTAGTTTGAGATAGTGGGGCATTTGCAATGTCCTGTCTACAAAACAAATTGCTGTATTTACTTTATATGCTGTCTGTGGTCAAAACACACTTATTAACATAACATCTTGAAAAAGGGAAGCACACAGTACTTCAAGCTTTCATCCAAATTCTAAAAGCCCGGTTTCCATGTGTTGGAGCATTTCAGTAAAAGTCGACTGCACTGCCCAGCCAGTCTGAACTGGAGCAGATCTATTAGGGCTGTAGCTGAACCTGAATGATCCAAATAGGACAAATAGTCGACTTGTATCTAGATTTAATTTTTGTTTATAGGCCACATTATTACTGATGTGCACCGCTCCAAACATTGAATTCCTGTAGAGTAACAGCCAACTTGTCATGTCCCGTGTTTCACCTGTAAAAAATGTCATTTGGACTTGTTTCAGCAGTGACATTTAGATTTGGTCTCTGTTCATCACTGACCTTTCACTCTTGTCTTGTTCCTGTCAGAGATGCAGAACTGATAGTTTACAATTTATTTTTAAATAATATTTTATTTACCAAGGCTTTCACATCCCTTTTCTCAGTTTTCAGTGTCTGTGTGGTTACTGTATAGCTCCTTAGTGACATGGGTGATGCTTCGTCAAAAACCCTTCACAGGGTTTGAGTCACCTTCTGATTTGAGTCCAGAATTAACTTGTAGTACTTCTCAGTATCAGAGGTACTTTAATAAGCATCAGACCAATGTCAAAGGTTTGTAAAAGCTGCAGTGAGCTCTGCCTCCTCCAGCTGCAGAGAGATAACCCACTGCATGTTGGTGAAACACTGAAAAGCTGCAGATACCCTGCAGTGATGCTGATGGTAACTTTTCAAAAAATGAGTTCCTGATTTGGTACATTTCTAGCCTGTCAACTGTCACTTGTATTGACTGCAGCTAGGTGACTAATTCAGTTTCCAGGTAACTCCAGCTGAGTCTTTTTAAAAGAGCAACCCTGTGAGCCAGCAGCTGATGGCCACACAGATATACTGTGATGCTGTTGTGTCTGCAGGTAAGCCCATAATGGAAAACATCACAGACGCCATCTATGGCAGCAGGAAGACGATCTGTGTGATCAGCCATCACTACCTGCAGAGCGAGTGGTGCTCCAGAGAGATCCAGATGGCCAGGTGGGGGTGCCGCCTTTCACTGTTCTGTTTGGCTTTAAACACAGTAACAGATCTCAGTGGACTACTCAATGCAAAAAAATCAATCAGGTGTAAAAGATCAAAACAGCGAACAGCAAAGGAAAAAAAAGAAGATCAGACAGAAGAAACAGGATAAACAGCTCAGAAATAAGAGATAGGAAACGAAATAACAGGTTCTTTGCTGCTGATGCTGAGATGTCACTGAAATCCTGGGACAAATGAGACTTTGTTTTGTATTTTAAAATATACTTAAGTTTTAACTATCAAGTAAGACAATAAGGTAAATTAACAACATCCTCCTCCCCAAACCATCATATAGAGCAGGTAGTGAGGTCTCACCCAGTGTCCTACCAGCAGCAGGAGAAATGCCACAGGTCAACTGATCTCGCCGTGATGCGATGGTGCTGTGGTAAAGGTTTGGTTAGGTTGAGGAAAAGACCCCGGTTTATGTCAGGGGACCGTCATCACAGTTACACCAGTAAACACATGGTTAATGCTGTTAATGCTGATTATTGACTAAGCAGCGCCTCCCCCATGTTAAAGTCCACTTTTCTGATTCCATCCTCTGAGCGGTCTTCACGCCCTGACCTGCTCTGTCCTCTGCTGCAGCTTCCGTCTGTTTGACGAGCAGAAGGATGTGCTGATCCTGCTGTTTCTGGAGGAGATCCCGGCCCAGCAGCTGTCTCCCTACCACCGCATAAGGAAGCTGGTGAAAAGACGCACGTACCTGAGCTGGCCTCAGGCCGGCCAACACATGGGAGTTTTCTGGGAGAACGTCCGGAGAGCTCTAGAGACAGGAGACACTGCCACCGAGACCACCAACCTCCTGACTGGACCAGAGGGATGCTAAGACTGAACCTGGACCTGTGAGCTTACAGAGAAACATCCTGATCAGACTGTTTGGAAATCCTAGAAAGAAAGATGCCACTTTTAACTGCAGAACCTGCCTTAGAATCATTGTGTTCTTAAGGTTTTGTTCAGTATCACATTAATCCAGTGATGGTCTGTACATCCTTGAGTACACTGCAAACAAGACCTGCTAATAGCTAATTCAGTGTTTTTCTAATGGTGCCTATTTGTCAAAATGTCAGCAAATATAGGCCTAAAGAAATAATGTGTTTTCAGGTCTAGACCACAGCACACTCACCCGCTCATATATCTAATCTGTAATATGCCAGCAGGCAACAGAGACGTGCTGAACCAAAAGGAGGGGGAGTGTCAGGCCAATCAAAGGGGCACACGGCACCCGAAGGTGAAGGTGCTGCTGATACGCAGCCAAACTCTCACGTCAGTCTTAACACAATGCAGTTTTTCATTATTTTACATCACTGATATTTAAGTTCCAGTTTCCACTATCCGCTGTTCTTTAGCTTCATAGTTAATCAGATGTTGTGTTCAATAACAATTGACTAATGGCTTCATGTTCCTTAATAACCAGGTTGTAGTCCTGTAGAATCTAAGACTTAATGCACATTCGCATCCACCAAGGGCATAGGTTTCCTCCGGTAGGGACAAATATCTTGCCACTGTAAAATGCAGCTGTCAGCGCACTGACCAACGGCTGCCATCTCCTCCATGTCTAGGAGCATCTGAAGACTGTCTGCTCTTCTCTAACTTTCTGCTTATTGACTGTGACCCCTCCTGTAGCTTCCTGATTTCTAAGCTTATTTCCCTGCAGGTAAATTTTACAATGTCCTCCAGAGACTTGCTGATTTGCTCTAACAATAGTAAAGTTATTGAATAAACATGTTTTATAAAAGCATTTGATGGCATAACACTGCTAAAGCTTCTCTTCTTCTTCTGTTGTTTTTCATTTACTCCTTTGTAACTGTATCACAAATGTTGAAATAAACTTGATCATAATTCAGAGCCTCACTTGTTTCTTCAGTTTGTAACAGCAACACACAGTGATTTGAATTTGAAATATGATTTTTAATTATGCATTATGTGATGTTTCTTATTCTCTTACACACAAAGGTTGGGAATTGATTTGCATTAGGAAAATAACGCGCGCACACACACACGTAAAAGCTCAGAGTTGAGATAAAGACTGACTCTTCTTCATACACAGATTAAATTATGATGAAAAACACTGGTTTAACTTTGTTGCTCACACACAGAAATGGACAGGAGTGTTTATTGGTCTCATAAATTTTCATAAAATCTGATCCAGTTGGTTTGTGTGGGAAGCAAAGAGGAGGACGATGAAGAAGACTGAAAAGGTGAGGATGAGGAGAAATAGAAGGATTAAGGGAATAGAGCAGTGAGCGACAGGAGGTCTGATTAGATTCTTCCTCTGAATATGAGATGAGCCTTTTTGCAGGACTGTGATTAATGCTGCTCTAGCAACCTTCAGCAAACACAATTTAAATGACAAACATGATGCATGTGGCTGAAATGTGAATTGTTAATGTGGTTTATTAAGCTCATTCCTCGGTGTCTGTGTTGTTTTTGCAGAGCTCAGACTGCAGGGTCTGAATGGAAATGAGTGGATGTGGTAGCCTCCTGTAGCGCTGCAATGATCTTGAGCAAAGCATTTTATTCCCTCCATCAGAGGGAAGAGGAAGGGGGGGACAAGGGGACAATGCTAAAAGTGGGGGGCTTATTACTGTTCGTCAGTATTAATGGGGCAAATCGTCTGCTCTGTCCGAAACTAGGAACAACCTGATTTTTCCCTTTTAGTACCTGGTGTTAAACAGAGTCCGAGGGGCACCAGTCCTCACCAATCACCACCTGCTGCATGTTGGCGTCCATGTCAACAGAACTTTCACTCTGTGCTGTTTCCTCTCCTTATTCAAACTGACACTTCCAGAATGTATCCGGCTGTCTGCTGCCTACATAAGGAGCTAGTGTCCATACAGCTTTAAAGTGAGGACCTCCACATGTCAGCCACTTGCATGTCTGCATAGACATGGTCTGTCTGAATCACAGCATCACTGGGGCACATGCTGACTATGAACCAGCGCACTGCTGCTGATCACAACATCTGGACAGGTGTTCTGCAGACTTTCAGTCTCGCATCTGTTGCCCCCAGGTCATTTTATAACTGAGCCAAATGTCAGTCTGATCAGTTGCTGTCCGATTTGCCCTTTGAGCGGGGATCCTGGCGCCTGGTGAATCACCTGATCGATCACTGATCAGCTGGATGTCTGGCAGAAGTGTCTGCAGCTCCACGGGCTCGTTTCACACCTGGCTGCTGTCAGTGATGTGTAATAAAGTGTAGGGAGCTTGTTTGAACATTACTGCAGTGGTAGGTTTAGCATTGTAGGGTCCAGATTGAGCTGTGGTGCAGACCTGGTGCACGGTACTGCCTGCATCTTTCAGCAGCTCCTTATGAGTCACTTCATTTTCTCTGGCTGTTAATTGTGGAATCACACCTGTCTCTCTTCTTGTCACCACCGAGGAAGCAGCCGGCAGGTTCTGCCCGTGCTGATTAGAAAGTGAGGTGTTGGGTAACACATCATTTTTAGTAAATCTCACAGAGACTCTGCCCAGCGTCCAGACTAGACCATGATCAGAGGTTCCCTCAGCCACAGACTGGCTCTATGTGCTGCTGTGGACCGAGTTCGGTGTTGTTGGTAACACCACCTGCGTGTGTGGAGGTGACCGGTTAAGAGAGGTGGAGCGTGCACATACACCACAGAACCAGAACTTCATCTCCCTTCCTACCTGCCAGCCTGTTAGGTTATTATCACACAGATTCTGAGTTGATGTCCTCTCTGGGAAAACAATAACACTCATACACATCGACTGTCCTCAGGAAGCCTGTAGAAAAACTCGTGTCTGTAAATGTTTCAGTAGCTCAGAATCACTTTAGCACATTACATGGTTAAATTGTTTGTTTGTACTGAAACTCGAGGCACCACTTTCTTCAGGTAAACACAGTTTTCACCTTGTTTGCTCCGTCAGACTCGAGGGGGGATTGTCAGGGACAGAGTTTGTTACTGAGGAACTCACATCTGTTAAGTCAGAGCGCTCCAGCTGTTCCTGGCCGATTACTCTTACTGATTAATTCACCAAAGACTCGTTTTCATGAAAGTCTATGCTCAGCATCTGGTGTGTGTGTGTGTGTGTTACATAAAACCATTCATTCTGATGAAGTGCCATATGGACCATACTTCCTGGTTCTCACCTCTCAGTTGTGTATGAGCTGCTCTCACACTCAGGTGTTATGAGCTGGATACATTTCAGAAACCCAGTGTGCACCTTCAGTACAGAGGTCAAATCATTTCCTCTGTTGTTCCTTGGTGTGCTCCAATGGGAGCACTCTGCTGAAGCTTTTCCTTTTACTGCTCATCCTGAGTGTTTTTATGACAGTGGCTGCTGTGATTCAGTGTCTGTGTTTGTGCAGCCAGTAAAGTTTCAGCCCTGAGGGGTTGAACGGCTCTGATTTATTGTTTCGATACCGACGGGAGCGTCGGCTTAAAGCTGCCAAAGTCGCTGGGTGGAATGGAAACGCTCATACATTTATTTATTTCATGCATTTCATTCTGCTCAGCGTCAGCCAGGCTGCACCGCTGCTGTTTAATATTTGAGCCCTATTTATGCGCTGGATTCTGCTGTTTACATCTGGAGGAGATCAGACTCCAGCCTGGGATGATACTGCTGCTTTTTATCAAGCTAAGCAGCAAATTCTAAGAAGACCAGCAAAATCAACAGTAAAGAGCTGGATGTTTAGAAAAGCTATAGTTTACTGCTGAGTTGGCACCAGGGTTGATTGAACTGCTATGGTTTCGATTGTTTTTGATGTGACACAATATCAAGAGCTGTTGCATTGTTTTTAGCTCCACATCAAATCACACGCTTGATTTCTGGAAGGTTCCTCTCATCCACCCATTTCCTGGTATCCAAGCTGTGCTCACCAACCTAAAACTCAAACTGTGGCTCCATATGTAGCTGCAGGAAGGCGCTGGCACGATGATGGACCTGTAGCGTGGACATCAGAGACAACAGAGCCACTCTGTCCACATGGGGCTCATGAGGAGGACTCCTCCAGGGTCCGTCTCTTCCTCTGAAAGTCTTTCAGAATGTAAACACAGCGAGTCCTGCTTATGTAAAGTCGTGGGCTGCACCTTCGCCTGCACCTGCTGCTGTGTCTCCACTCAGTATTTCATTGTAAATGTGGACAAGTGTTCTGTAGAGAACTGGAGAGAAGATGCAGACATCACAGTTTAATCAGGCACACAGGAGCACTAACTCAAGCACAATCAAAAGCTTATTTCCCCAGACATCAGCCGTTCTCATATCCTGTAATTTGTTGTTTTTCATAAACTGTGAGAGGAGGAGGAGGAGGAGGAGGAAAAGGAGGAGACAAACAGACAGGAAGACCTGAAGACAGACGGATGGAGAGGCTACTGATTACAGAGGGGATTTGGTTCCTAATCCCAGCGCTGCGTGTGAGGCATCTCCTTCACTTTTCTTTTTCTACTTTGGTCTAATTATCCTGCAGAGAAACAAAGTCAATTTGTCAGCCGGAAATTTAATTGAAGTTTCTTGGTGGAAATCATTTTACAACCACAGAGGGCACACAGGAGGGAACTGCCTTCTTATTATTAGCAGTAGTGGTTTTAGCACTCACACTGACAGTAATTGCTGGAGAGATTCGACACACTAATTGTACACAGTATACTTGTCTTTATAGCCCATTCTTTTTATAGTTACATGAGCTCGACAGACTTTACTGTAGGAAAGGAGCAGATTATAGGTGCTGTCCCACTGCACTGTTGCACAGAGACAGAGTACAGCTGCCTCACGTGTTAACATTCCGTTTGACTTGTTTTCGAGATCTTTGTGCAGCCGTGATGTAAAAGCAGATCACTGGATATGTCATTATAACCAAGGCTACATACGTTTGGTACTCTTAACTGGACGGCACTCAGGGAGTGAGTCTTCTAAAACCAATCAGCAATTAATGAATGAATTCACCTTGACAGACATCTGCAGCAGGAGAGTTCCCCCACACCTGCGACACACTGCGGTGGAGGTGGTCTTCATAAAAGCTGACCCGGTCAGCCTGTGTCACACTGCGGTGGAGGTGGTCTTCATAAAAGTTGACCCGGTCAGCCTGTGTCAGTACCACAGCTCACCTTCTTCTCACCGAGCGAGTCTGTGTTGTGTTGTATGGCACAGTCTGCTCCTAACTGTAATCATGATATGGAAACATTTTTGTAATTCTGAGTTGTATAAACAAAAACAAACTCTGTGAGTTTTAGTTCAGCATTATTTTTATTTTCAGCTGTGACACTTTCTACTGGGTTTGTTGTTTTTAATCCTGTAATTATGGTGCTGTCATTTGACCACTACTGGAGCTGGTGTGAGACTCTGTTTATACGTTCTTTTACGTATTGTAGCGTTGAGGGGACAGACACTCAGCAGGACCCCCCAGCATGCCCCTCTGGGAGGGCTGTATATGGTTATGGGCTGGCAGGATTGTTCATGTGTTCAGTGTGTGCCCTGAAAAAAAGAGCAACTCTGGTCTCTGTATATCAGTTTTTAACTTGGTGAGACAAACATTACAAAGAAAGAAGGCTCCTGTTGTAGCTTCATTCTAGGTTATTTACAGAACAGGAAACAACACTGATGCTATTGTTGTTTACCTTTTTGATCATGCTCATCTAAGTTTTAGCTAAATGTTGTCTTTGATTTTAAACAAGTTCATGCTGGGAACATGTTTCATTGTTTGACACTTTGAATAAGAAAAAGAAAAGATGACAACAAACTACAAAGAGCCCAGCTGTTACCTTTACATACTAACATTACTAATTGGCTATAGTCATTTATTGTGTTTGGAGAAACATGCACGTCTAATTAAAGGGGGCGGGGTCAGGTGGCTGCCCAGTCCTCTGATTGGCTGCGGCCCTGCTATGATAATGAGGGGTGTGGCCCACAGCCGGGGACGCTGCTCTTCTGAGAGTCGCCTCACTGTGCCGTTTGGACCTGTGCGCCACGCGTACGCGCTTTCTCTTGGTGGATTTATGTCTGCTCTGGGCCGGAGGAGGATTTTCCTACCACTTTGGTCCCGTTTTGTGGAAATAAGCGGAGCTGTTGTGGATTAATGGGACTGCGCTCGGGTTGCGCGAAGACTCAGGGGAGTCCGGATTCCGTCTGTCTCGCGTCTCTGTGGAAAGGTGAGTTTGTTCTTCTGGCGTTTTCCTGCAGGAGACCCTGCGGCTCTGCTTCTCCCGGAGGTTCACTGTATGCATGCGTGTATGTGTCCCCGATACTTGTGGTTTTGGGGCGTGTGCGTGTTTATGCATGAGGGAAGAGGATGCACAGGTTCGGACTGTGCGCGTGTTTGGATGTGTTTGTGTGTCCGTTGCTGTGTGTTTGTCAGCTGTGACTGATGGCTGTCAGTGTTTCGGAGGCTTCACTAACTCCAGTCACCTTCCTTTGTGCTGACGGACGGACTCTTCGGGCTCTGCGGGACCGAGGCTGTCTTGATGAAACCCCCCGTGAGGGCTGCTCCTCATGCACAGAGAAAACCTCCGCGCCTTTGTTAAATGCAGAGTTAGAACCCCCGGAGCTGCAGAATAGAGGCTTCTCCACTTGTCGCCGAGCTCCGGGAGCACGTCTTTGTCCTGTCCCTCGTTTAAGGGTTCATTTTTAGGGTGAATGCCAGAGAAAGACTGATAACAGGGCTGTGTCGTTCTCGATCTTTGGGATCCCGAGTCCAGTCCCATAGTGCTAATACCCGCCATACGGATCCGGTTCTGGTTCTGGTATTCAGTACCAGTGAGGTGATGTTGACAGCCAGTGGCCTCACAAGTCCATAGCTGCCATTTATTTAATTGTTGTGCAATTTGTTGATATTTTACATGAAGTGCTGAATATGTTTACTCATAAAATGTCAAATAATGAGACTGGCCCTTCACTGGTTCCCAGAGTCCAGAGTGGCCTCTGCAAACGGGTCCACAACTCAGGACGGTTTACTGCCCCATGTGACAAAGGAAAAGCAGAAAAACTTCAGTTGTAAGAAGCTGGGAGAGTAAATCTGTGGCTTTGCCTTCAGAAGGAGCAGTCAATGTGAGCCAGTTGATTAATCATGTCCTGATCTTTTAGCAGAAGCAGCTGCCGGGGCCGGGACCAGGACTGATCCATTAGTTCACTTATGGCAGAATGTGTTCCTCGTTTTTTAACAAGCTGCTGTTCTCAGAGTAAACCAACAAAAGAATCTGGCTTAGAGATGCCAGGACTGATCCATTAGTTCACTTATGACAGAATGTGTTCCTGGTTCTTTAACAAGCTGCTGTTCTCGGAGTAAACCAACAAAAGAATCGGGCTTAGAGATTAATCGGATATTTAGTCGATATCGATCGATCAGAATCCTCCCTGATAAGTCGGCACAGTGATGTTGACAACTGCAGGACGTTCGGTCCGATGTGGTTCCTGTTCAAAGCTGCCATTAAAGGCAGAAGTTAATCAGCTGCAGTGTGGTCAGCCGTCTGTCCGGCTGCTCTGGTGTCTGTGCAGGGAAACTGAATGGTTGTGGCTTTTTCTCTGCTGGTTTGACAGAACACACTAGTTGTTGTTTTTTTTTTTTCTTCTGATTTCTGTACAGGATGATTCAGTTTTACTAATTCACTCGGTGTCCTGCATTATGATGTGAAGCTGGTTCTCCTTTTTGCCGTGTTAAAAACCAGGGTGATAATTGAGTTAAAACCAGGTGTAGAACTGATAGACAGGCCTGTCTGCATGTCTGTCCTCGCTCCTGCACAAACAGAGATGGTGGAGGACTCTGCTTTCCTGGTGCTGATGCTGGATTGTCTCTTCAAACGTGTTTTCTTCTGTGTCTGTCCAAACTGTGGAGAGGTCCGACAGCAAGCCTGGAAAAGCCATGTTAGCCCTCCCACAGTTTTCCAATGTGAGTCCCTCCACTGGGTCCTCTGATAGGACTGATCAGGATTTAGGATACATCCTCACTGTGAACAACCCCAATGATCCTTAAGTGGCTTTGACTGGGCTCTGGTTGGTCCCAGCATTGCTTGGTTTGATCAGTCTGAACAGTGAATGTATGATGCTGCAGGAGGAAAGAGAGCAGTCAGTCTGAAGGTCGTCCTGCTGCAGCTGGGGGTGTTATCACAGGACAGAGACAGCAGTGAGGCTCAGTCGGTGAAACACGGCCGTCACCATGGGAAGGACAGCGTCTTGCCAATTAGCCACCAGCTATGAGCAGTAAATTGAATTATTAATGTCAGCAGTGATGCTGTTTGTCGTCAGAGTCACAGTGAGGCTGCACGCAGGCGGCCGTGGTCTGATCAGAAATACCAGTCTGATTTAGTGAAGGCAGCCTGTGTTCGTAGATGCAGCACCAGACTCAGGATCATGCAGGTTAAACGCACATTTCCCACGACCCACATGGTAAATAGCTTTTACAGCCTGGGTGATCTGTGTTTAAAGCCTGAGATAAACTTTTACGAGGTATCGTCACATCTGATGAGGAGCAGCTGACGGAGAGTTATACGAGCTGAAAACATAAAATATAATCCCCTGGTGAAAAAATCTTGTAAAGGCTGTAAAATCATGCATGTGCTGTAAACGCTACAGTTACTCATATTCAGCTGAAGCTGGAGATGGGGTAGTAGGTGGAGGTTGGTAACATCAACATGACTGTTCAGTGCACATTTACATGTGATAGACTGTCACATCATCATTACACAGCTCCACAGAGGACTGAGCGACCAGCTGGCTTTGATAAATGGATGAGTTGCGTCGTCTGTGACGTGTCGGAGAGAGGGAGTGGGCCCCAGCTGCAGCTCCAGCATCTGGCGGCATCCTGTGGCACACTGTCCTATGGAAAGTTATTGTGCGTAGGTGGAGCCGCACCCCCCAGGCGGCCTCCTGCTGAGACCAGTGTTAACACGCAGTGCACCGATGCAGGCTGGTGCATTTCTGCTTCTTGACTTGGAGGTGTGAGAAGTTGTCTTTGTTTAACTCGGAATAGAAAACAGGATGCACGCCCACACCTCAGCCCACACCCACAGTCTGGACTCGGCCCCCTGTCGTTCACTTCTGACCGTGTGAAGGTGTCACCATTGGAATGTTTCTTTGTGTCGCTCCATGAGCACCTGGCCCACAGACCCGTCACAGAGCGGCCCAGCACCCGGCTGCCTGCCCGCTGCTGACCGTCCATTGTGCGCTAACCCTGGGGTGCATTTGGACACAATAACCTGCGAGTCCCCGGTGGGTGTGCGGCGAGGAGGAGGAAGTGCAGAGAGAATGATGTTATTCAGCATAGGAAGATTAGCCGCGTCACTGTGAAAGCCTTGAACTGTCATCAGCCATTCTGTTGTCAGTACAAATCTGTGCCGCGGGACTCGCCTTTTGTTCTAATCCTGTGTGTGTGTGTGTGTGTGTGTGTGTGTGTGTGTGTGTGAGACCGAGGAGACAGACAGGAGCACTGCCGCTGTGCTGATGTGGCCGAGCTGCAGGAAACCGGCCAGCATTTCCAAATAATAATCTCATGTTAAGACACAGCCCTGTCCTACCTCTCCGGCATGTTCTCTCTTTGCCTTGTCTCCAAGCAGGAGAGGAAGACAGGGAGGTGAAACACTGCAATTTGTGTTTGTTTCTTTAAACCTCTCAGATTGTGGCTTTCACCCAAGTTGATTAACAGGACCCTGACTAGTGGGGCTGCAACTACACATCACTGTCAGTCATCTGTTTTCCTGCTCAGTCGTCTGTGAGGCAGCAACATGGGCCTCCAAAGTGCTGTCCCCGACCTCGTGGTCTGCCCCATGCAGCAGTCCGAAGCAAAACGTAATTCATCTAGTTTTGTGATTTTAGACAGCATTTGGCATTCAGACTAAACAGTAACTGTGGTTAAAATGATGGCCACAGTAGTCCCCACCTACATTTTTTTGACCAACTGATTGGTGCTAGTCATTGTAGCTGCTGCTGATGTTTAGCCTATCAAGCAAAAATGGTTCCTTGTTCTCGCTCGGAGCAGGTGACTAGGCTCGCGTTTGAGGCTAAACACTGAACCCCAGTTTGTTCTTGTGAAAAGAACAACCCTCAGTATTTCCCATGGGCCACTCGGTCTGCAGCCTGGAAAAACAACCTGTGTCCAGACGTCCTCCAACATACGGTATAATCCACTTCTCTGTTCATCTGTATCTCTAATATTTTCATGTTCCCACAGCCTGATGGTGTCTGTTCGCTCTGTGTAGACTGTTCAATCCTACAGATGGAGGTGTTTGGCATCTCAAAGTCAGATGTTTGTGTGATATTCCTTTAAATTCCCTGAATGTGTGAACACGGCTCGGTGCAGTAACAGGTGGCGGTCTGATGGCGCGTGCAGCAGCCTCAGCGCCGGCCCCGCTCCGTCCTCAGAGTCAGGCGTGAAGGCCAAATCGCAGCTGTAATCGCCCTGAAAATATGACTCCTGTCCTGAAGGCACAGGCTGTGCAGGCAGACCTCGCCACCTTGCCTCGGCCTGATATCAAGCTGTAATTGTATTTGACTGTGGCTCTGACAGATAAAGTGCTTCCACCATAAACACTGGGCCCTGTGCTGCAGGTGCTGGCTGAGCTGGTTTGCTCTGCATAAATCTGCTGTCTCCCTCCATCGTCTGGGCTTTGCTCTTCTTCCAAGCTTCCTGTCGGATTTTCTTGGTGAAATCTGGAGATGAGACGGGGCGAGAGGCTGTCAATCCACTCTGACATCACTTCCTTCCTCCTTTGAGCAAGGCAGCACTGCAGCGGAGGAGCAGACAGTCACATCAGCATAATACCAAAAATAGATTTTTACAAAATAAAAGCATAACAGTAAAAGATGTTGGATACAATTTTACAAAATAAAAGCCCCAAAGTAGTGAAAAATGGCTTTTTACAAAATAAAAGCCCACCAGTAAATGGTAAAACCTGGTGGTTTAAAAAAATGAACAAATGAGTGAGTTGATAATCCTGTAAATATCAAACGGGTCTAAAACTGGAATAGTACTTCCACTTTTTAAAATATTCACAAATTATGCAAAACCAAATGACAGAGTATTACTCGGATGTAATCAGTCCTCAAGGAGATGCACAGTGGGCTATGGGGAGTAGCACTGATTGTAAACGTTGTTTACAGGAAAACTCCACTGGGTGCCTTTTACTCTGAACTTCTAGGATCTTCTGAATCTGACATGAAT